AAAAAGAAAAAAAAAATGCTTTAGTTTTGCGTGTTTCTGTGTCAGGACAAGCAAGAACTATTTAATATAAAATATACACTCATTTTTGTCACTTTTAATTTCCAAGCTTATGATTTTCGTGGAGAGCAGTATACATGCTGGGGAAGTAAGAGTTCATATTCAATTATAACACAATAATTCAGTTATTATTTGTTATATATGTACTCAATTTTAAGTATGAATTTACATTCTTCTGTAATGTGCCAAGTGTGCTAGTAAGCAACAAAGGTAATCAATGTCATGCATGTTTTATATGATCTCAAATTTCACTTATTTCTTTCTCTGGTCAGAGTTGTGGCCTATCTTTCCCGTGTGCTTGAGGCTGCTTTCACAGCTCTAGAAGGTCTTAACAAACAAGCCTTCCTGACTGAATTGGTACATCAATTTACATTTTTGCAACTTTTAAGTTTGATTTGATTCTATGGATTTTGGTACATACATTTATCCAGTCTGGGAACATATCATGCGAGCAAATGTTTGTTGTACTGTTTATTGACACATCTAATTTAGTTTCAGGGTACATGCTGCTACTTATTTACTATCACATCCGACTTGCTTCTTGACTTCAATCATGGTTTTGGTGGCATTTGTTTAAATAGCCATATCTAGTATACGCCTATTGGTAGAGGAAAATCTGCACAATTTCTAGTATGTAATTTATTTACAAACGCATGCACATGCACAGCGATTTGCAAGTGTTAATGCATACCCTTATCCTTTACACATGACCAAATGATCAATTTTGCAAATTAATGTCTCATCGTTGATATATTTGTCGGTTCCTTTCTGAAAAAGAGTGGTGAGCATTGGAATGTCTATGCAGTTCTATTGCTGGTAACTTTTATTGCTCACATTACCTCATTTCGGTGTACCATGCTCGTCTTATTAGTCAAATAGACTTTTGAATCACCTTTTGGTTTTGATTTGCAAGATTTTTTTAATCATTGCATTTGGAGAGCAAGAAATTATAAACGAATTTCAATCACTACATTCATATTTTTAGACACACTAAGAATGTTTGTAATTTAACTCTTCAGTAAACTAGTTCGACCAAATTAGTCTCGCGAAGACAAAGTAGACAGAGCATGATATATTACACTTGCATTTACGTTTTGACGTAGTAACCATTCATATAATCATGCAGGGAAATCGCTTGCACAAGGGGCTGCTTAATCATTGGCAAAAGTTCACTTTTAACCCAAGGTAATTCCTTCCTATGTGTTGCAATTTGCCAGTCTGTAATTTTGGAATTCTCATGTAGAAGTGATGAACTTAGACTAATGGTATGTCCATAGCGATGCCTTGACATGGATGTAACTGGATCTGTTATCACAATGTAAATGGTTCAACACAATGACACCCCCACGAATCTCTAAAACTAACCTGGAAAGTTTGTATGATTACGTCAAAAGATGTAACCATGTTTGCATCATCTGACTTCTTCAGCGGAGGACTACGGCTGAAACGTGATATAACAGAATACGGGGAATTTGTTCGTGGTTTTAATGCTCCTTCAGTTGATGAGAAATTCGAGTTGCTCGGCATGTAAGTTGTGGTCTTTTGAAGATGTGTAGCCTTCCATCTCCCCTACCTTCACTAGAATTCTCGCAATAGAATTAGGCAAGACATTTTCTTTTGATTTACTGACATAACCTTCGTTTCCAGCATGGCCAATGTCTTCATTGTGGCCCCTGAAAGCCTGTCGACTCTTTTTGAGGGAACTCCAAGTATTCGGAAAGATGCACAAACGTATGTATTTATTGATCTTTTATGCAGTCAAGTTAGATTAAACTTGCCTCACACATTTTATATAACCATAAGCTATCTTGTTGTACACGTTATACTAAAAAATGTCTTTAGATTCTTTGTTGTACATGTTATAACTAAAAAATATCTTTAGATTCTTACTAAGAAAATAAATTTTATTCATGTAAGTACAGTACCCTATGAATTTTCTGTTCACTTTGTTCCGAACTTTTATTGATGAGTGGACCCAAGGCATTCAGTCACTGTAACAGCTTTGTGATTTGGAGTATGTTTGGCTAAGCTTAAAATGTTCACTTACAATTATTAAAAACTAAAATAAGTAAGTTTTGATTAATCAAAATTAAAACAAGGTAAGCTATTTATAATCACAGTAATGCAAATTAGTTCCTAACTAAGTAACTTTTTTTCCTCGAATATAAAAGAACTTGATTGAAAAAAAAGTAAAAAAATTTTCTTGTTTATGAGCTTAGTCAAATATGCTTATCAATCACACCTGAAAATATCGTTCTTTCTATTAGTGGCTTTGTGCCTTGGTTGCTACTGTAGTTCGTTTATGAGATTAATATTTGAATCCACTGCAAACTCAGGTTTATTCAGCTCAGAGAGGACTACAAGAGTGCAAAGCTGGCAGCTCGACTCAGCTCCTTGTGGGCTGGCTCTAGTTAAAGCACAAATTGCATGCTGAAGAAGATAGGATTCAAGAATTCAGTAGTTGATCATGACAAGGTGTTAAACTAGCCTGCTTCTTACGCAATACCTTGTCAGGAGCAGAAATGCAGCTACTTGAATTGCAAGCTCAGCATTGGAAATTCTAACAGCTTGTCACTTCCTCTGTTTTCCTCTCTAGATAGTTTTTTCTAATATAAAAAAAAAAACTTCCTTGCTATTCTAGGAGTTGGTTCATGAGAATTTCAGTAAAGGACTTGCTTATTTGCTGTGTGCTTTTGTTTTTCTTGCAATATGATTTATACAAGTGAAGTTCATGTCCGGGATTACATCTGTATGAATTGATTATGAGCAATACATTCTGGATGGTATATATTTGCATACTTGTGCTAGATTTTTCAATCGACCATCCCGAACTTGGACGAAACCTTCTATAGTGACAATAATGTTATTCCATAGTACTTAGCCTACTGTAATATATTATCTTAAAATGTGCTGATAAATTCATTCTGTTAATGTAGCTTTGTCATTTTCCCATCTATAGATGTTTTTCTGTTTTCTAGAACCACTTACGAGGCGTTACGTATTAGTTTACTCTCAATAAAGCATGAAATAAGCCATTCCTGTCCTCTGGTAATGTTCATGTGATGCATGCCTTTAATTTCCCTGATCTTGTAAATTTATTGCTGGATTCACCTATCATTCAATCCTTGACTCCAGTGATCATTTGAGTGTGTTTGATTGACTTACTTTTCATGAAAATGTCACGTTGTCAATTTTTTTTCAATGAAAATATTTTTCAAAAGTTGGTCACATGACCATGCTTTTCTCAAAAGCGAGGAAAACATTTTTAATGGGGAGGTAAATATTTATTTTCTAGACAATTCACAAATTCCAAAAATTTGACTTTATGAGAAGGTACATTTTTTAGGTTGAAAATTAAGTTAATAAAACACATTTAATTGACAATTTTTAAGTAAATATGTTTTAGACAATTTAATTGTTTAAAATTAAAATTTTTATGCAAATTTCATGTTTGCAATTTAAGGTACGTTTGATTGCGAGTATGGAATTTGCATGACTATTAACTAGATGTGCTTGATTGATTTAGTATTTAACTTAAAAAATATTATATTTGTACATTTTTTATTAATGGGTTGATGAAAGATAATGGATAGATGAGAGAGAGAGAGAGAGGATTTCCTAGAAAATAAAATCATAATCTCTCTAAAAATATTTTTCTTAACTTTGAGGAAAATATGATTACGTGATCAAAAGTATGAAAATGTTTTCTATGAAAAAAATGTCAACCAAAAGTACAAAAATAAAAATTTGAATAGAAAAACATATTTTTCATGAAAAATATTAATAATCAAACGCAACTTTACAAGTTCCTTCATCTTGAAAATTAGCTCTGGGTGAAAAATTTTACCGAATTAACCTATTTGGACAAAGTTAATTATAGGGCCAAAAATAGTGGCTCCCCCTATAGACATGGCACCCTGATTTTGGCCCTGGAATCCACCCCGTTGTCCAGCGGGGTATAATTTTATTTATTTATTTTTTTTTTTTGATATCCAGGTATCCCAGCTTACACTAGACTAAATTCTGGACCCCCCAAGACCCTTGCCCCTAGAACCTTGAAGGGGGTAAATCGCGGGTTATGCCTCAACTGGATCACAAGTTCCCCCCACAGCCTGTACACTTCTGCGCACAAGAGATCCTCCTCCAAAGTAATTGCTTCATACCAAATAAATCTGGCCGCAGGTTCCCACTAGGATTCGAACCTCCACCCTGCCGCTGAAAGCAAGATAATATTGATTAATCCACCAATTGAGCTATGTTCCGGGGTTTAACTTTACCTGCCATTATGATGAGAGACCGCTTTAGCATTAAAGTTAGATGGCAGCTTAAGGCGTTGCTTTATCGAAGGTCCACAATTTTTGACTGACTTTTTTTTTTTTTCAATAAATAATTCCGTCATAATTAATAACATTAAAAAATAATTAAAGATTATGAACGATTTTTTAGTTAGTAATCTTAAAAACACAAATAGTTTAATAATTTAATTTACCAAATATAATGCATCAATAAATAAATTAATGTTTTAAAAAAAATTACGGTAAGCAGACAATTTTTGGTGACATGAATGAAGCTCTACAAATAAGAACTTGTTTGGCATGATTTTTCGCTTTTACTTTTACTTTATGTAGAAGAATTTTGAGAAAGCTAAAGTAATTTTTATTTGAAAATTAATTTTTAAAAGCATTCCTATTTCAGAAGCGCTTTTAAAAGAAATTACATTGGATTAACTTTCTCTAAAAACATAATTACAAGAAATACATTCATTAGCTTTTCAAAAGTCGTACAAATGGGTCCTAACAAATTTAGCGCACACAATATCGAAGTTTACAACACAACTTAGACCTAAGAAATGAATATGTGAAAAGTATATGCCAAAACCGATGCTATCTTATCTTATTCAACACGAACAGGCTCAAAAAAGTAAATCGAAACAGGTTGACCGACCTAGACTCTTTCAAGCTAGCCTTAGTTTTGTTCTCCAGGCCGGTATCTAAAAGTGATTGTCCAACCCCTCGTGTAGGTAAATACTAGAACTTCGCTGACAACTTATTCCAAGACCTGAAAAAAGAAATCAACAGGTGTTCAAGTACGTTGAACTAGGAAAGGAATAGGATTTGTAAAGGACGAAAGGCCAGTGACAGTTTCTCAGTTAACTTGTTGCACCACACATCAAACAATAAAAGATGATTAGTGGATCTCTAAAAGCAACAGGGTAAGAACAAATTGCAAGATAGATATTCCCCTAAAATAATCTTACTACACAACATTGTAAAAAGATAGTTCGAGCGTGCTTCTCACCACCAGTAAACCGCTGCTCTTAAAGTTAAAGAGTATGGGAAACTGTTGTGACAAACCATTGAGCAGGGAAGAGCAGGGAATATTGACTACTTCCCTTCAAATTGGCCATAAGAACAGAGAGTCTTGTTCACTTTGCATGTCAAATGGAATCTGAACTCGGTGTGTATGAATCATACTACACAACATTGTAAAAAGATAGTTCGAGCGTGCTTCTCACCACCAGTAAACCGCTGCTCTTAAAGTTAAAGAGTATGGGAAACTGTTGTGACAAACCATTGAGCAGGGAATATTGACTACTTCCCTTCAAATTGGCCATAAGAACAGAGAGTCTTGTTCACTTTGCATGTCAAATGGAATCTGAACTCGGTGTGTATGAATCACAGTCTGCTGGTGAATATGGCACATTTCTTCATCTCCTCTATGAGGTGCAAAAGAACGAGGGATTTTTCTTACATGCTACAACCCTCCTACGCAGTTGAAGCAGAAACCTCGTAACCCTTCACAAAGGCTCGCAATTTTTCTGTTTCACCAACAGCAGAAAGCCATTCAGTAAGGATTTCCATTGTAATATAATCTGGATTACAAGCCTGTTCAGTCATTTGATCCATCATTTTCAATGCTTTATCCAACCAATTCCTCTGTCGGAGGCCTTTGAATATGGCATTAAATGTAGTGGTATTTGGCCTAACCCCTCTTTCCTTCATGTCAATCATTAAAGAAAGAGCAGCTTCTTCTTTATTATTTTTGCACAGAGAGTCAATCAACATGTTGTATATAACAGTGTTAGGTGGCACCTTTGAAGAAGAACTCATGTCTCCGAATATTTTCATAGCATCATCAATTTTACCAACCACGCAATAAGCATGAATCAATGCTCCATAAGTAACGATGTTAGGCACTAAACCATCACTGATCATCTTCTGCATAGCTCTATGGGCGTGCCCGAAATCTCCTTTTGAGCAAAAGTATGAAATCACAGTGTTATACGTGACACGGTCTGGCTTCACCCCTGCATGCTCCATATCTTTAAGCGTCTCAGAAACTTTATCCATTTTATTCTTCCTGCAAAATCCACTAATTAGAATATTGTAACTCAGAACATCCAAGTAGTACCCAACTGCTTTCATCTTTGACACAATGACGCTAGCATCATCCATTCTTCCAGCCTGGCTAAGGCCCGATATCAAGCTGTTGTACACAAGTGCATCCGGGGAGAGACCACTTTCTAACATTTCTTCAAACAACTTAATGGCCTTGTCGGTATTGTTTGCACTGCAAAAAGAAGTAATCAAGATAGTGTAAGTAATCGCATTTGCTTTCAAACCTTTCTCTTTCATTTTGCTGAAAAGTTCCACCGCACTACTAACTCTCCCGTGCTTACACATCCCATCAAGCAATGTATTAAGCGTAACCACATTTAATTCCACTCCATCCTTGTTCATCAGCTCAAATAGCTCGTGCCCCCTCTCAATCTCACCCGATTTACAAAACCCATCAATCAAACAATTATAAGTAATCGTGTTTGGCTTGCACTTACTCTCCAACTTCATCCTCTCCATTAACTTCAAACCCTCCTCCTGCCTCCCAACTTTACATAAACCATCAATCAATGTATTATAAAGCACAACATCAGGCTCAATTCTGAAGTCTCCATCTTTTATCTTCTCAAATGCTTCCAAAGCCTGATCGACCCTATAAAACTTACATAAATGATTAATCAAAATCCCAAATGTGACGACATTCGGTGGAATTCCCTTTTCCTTCATTTCCTCCATAAGCAAATTCATTTTCACAAAATCACGTTCTTTTCCCAACCCTGTCAAAAGGGCATTACAAGAAGCCGTCTCTACATCTCCCCCTAAACTCATTATCTCATGCAAGAGGTCCCATGCCTTGCCACACTGTCCGGTCCTACAAAACTTCGTAATTATTTGTGTTAGCCAAAAACTATTTACAAAAATCCCATGTTCACTAAAATTCAAAATGAGCTTATAAATTTCCTCCACGTTCACATCCCTTCCAACCCATCCCCTCTTTAATATTGCGGTAAAAACAATATCAACGGTATTATTATTAGGTGGGTATCCCGTATCCTGCTTCAGCATTTCGTCGAGCAGCTTCAGTGCGTCATCAATCCGCCCAGATTTCAGCAGCGCGTCAATAAGTGAATTCACCACATGGGTGTTTCTCGAATCGGGATCAAGTGCATCATTAACTTGGACGAATTCTTGAACCATTCTGGCCTGACCAAAGCGTTTGATGAGGAGGGTGGCGGCGTTGATTGTGAGCGGAATTTTTTCATCTTTCGATAGAATAAAAAGCTCGTAAAGCTTGCTTGCCGAATCAGAATGCTCGCGCAGTGCGTGCTCAAAAACGGCTTGGAATATGAAGGAGAGGGACGTGGTGGAGTTGGGTTGCGGAAAGGTGGATTTGAAATGTTGAAACAATTTAAGCATAATTTGGGAATTGGGCAACTGGCGGGCGAGTTTGAGGTGTGACAGAGGAGTGAGAGAGGAGAGGAGGGTGGAGAGTTCGGGTTTGTTGGGCCAGTCGTTGGGGTCAGTGTTCTGTAGGAGAGAGATTATTTGAGGGATGGTAGAGGAGGTGGTTGATGATGGCGGTGATGGTGGTGTAGAGGAGTAGGGCTCGGAGCAGAAGCGGCGTAGAACGGTGGTGCAAATGTGGGGTTTAGTTAGGTAGTGGCGGAGGAGTCGTCCCATGACTGGAGGTAGGTGGCGGCGGTTTGCACGTTTAAATTTTTTTTTTTAATATCAATTGGTTTGCACGTTTAAATTTTTTTTTTTAATATCAATTTTCTTTGCCAAAATAATCTGTTAATAAAACTATTAGTCCCTTACGTTAAAATGTTGTTTCATTTTGGTTATCAAACTTTCATTTATTACAAATTAGTCTTTCGGGTTTATTTTTTGTTTAATTATAAACTAACCTAGCCAACCAACAATTGATGTACATACATAAAAGGAAAGATGAGTTTGCCTAATGCACCATTTTGATTCATCCTTGAAATCAACCATCGATCCGAATCATCCGATTTACCTAATAAATTTGTCAATGACGCGTGGAAACGGGTAAATGAAAATCGCTTGACATTAGGTGACGGATAAAGTTGGACACCCGGCTCCAAGTTGTTCGAGAATAGCGACGTTGAGTTTCTCGACTCTTTAGTTTATGATTAGTCAATTGATCATAGAAATGTGTCCGATTGGTGTGTTTGTTACGCAATAGCTTGTTCGGGATAGGAAAAGTAGCTACTTGAGCTGCAAGTTCGGCAAACCCTTCCTTGGAAATTCTAAGAGCTCCTCATTTTCTCTATTTCCTCTCTCGATCATATTTTCTTATATCTAAAAACTTCCTCATTATTATAGGAGTTGGTTCAAGAGAATTTCGGTGAAGGACTTGCTTCTTCTTTTGTATTTCTTGCATAGAGTAAGCCATTCTGGAAATGTTCACCCGAGGTGCAAAGCCTGTGGTTAGTTGGCCTTTTACGGCAGCCATTCATCAAATCAAATATTAGAGACATCCTTAAAACTTGTAAATTTGTGCTGGATTCAATCCTTGATCATTAGTTTTTCTTCAGAAAAACTTTGGCCGCCATTATGATGAGAGAGGGCAATAGCATTACTGTTTTCTAACATCTATGTGTTTTTGTCTTTGTTTTTTCCCCAAAAAAAAATAAATATAATAACATTAAAAAATTTAAAGATTATGAACCATTTTTTAGTTTAGTAACACAAATAGTTCAATAAATTTAGAATACCCAAATTAGGCCTACGAAATGAATACGTTCAGGACATGGAATAGGATTGGTAAAGGCAAGCATTTCTTAAACAGCAAAACCTGATTTATTGATCTCTAAAAATAATCAGTCTACTACGCAACATTATAGAAAGATTAAATTAAAGAGTACATGACAAACCATTAAGCAACTACTACCCTTCAAATTGGCCATAAGAACAGAGCGTCTTGTTCATTTTGTATGTCCATTGGAATCTGAACTCGGTGAAGCAGAAAAAAAGGCTTGCAATTTTTTCTGTTTAGCCGACTGCAGAAAGCCATTCAGTAAGGATTTTCATTGTAATATAGGAATAGAATCACAGGCCTGTTCAGTCATTTAATCCATCATTTTCAATGCTTTATCCAAAAAATTCCTCCGCTGGAGGCCTTTAAACATGGCATTATATGTAGCGGTAGTCGGCCTAACCCCCCTTTTTTCATGTCTTTCATTAAAGAAAGAGCAGCTTCTTCTTTTTCATTTTTGCACAGAGTCAATCAACATGTTGTATATAACAGTGTTAGGTGGCACCTTTGAAGTCTTACTCATGTTTCTGAATATTTTCATCGCATCATCAATATTACCATGCTTGCAATTGACGTTACGCACTAAACCATCTTTGATCATCTTCTTCATATCTCTATGAGCATCCTTTCAATATCCTATTGAGCAGAAATATGAAATCGCAGTGTTGTACGTAACACAGTCTGCCTTCATCTCCATATCTGTAAGTGTAAAATGAGCTTCATGCATTTCATTCTTCCTGCAAAGTCCACTAATTTGAATATTGTAATTGAGAGCATCCAAAGTTGAACCCAGCTGCTTTCTTTTTCGACACGATGATGCTAGCATCATCCATTATTCCAGCCCGGCTAAGGCCAGATATCAAGCTGTTGTACACAAGTGCATCTGGGGAGAGACCACTTTTTAACATTTCTTCAAACAACTTCATGGCCTTGTTGATATTGTTTGCACGGCAAAAAGAAGTAATCACGATAGTGTAAATAATAGCATTTGTTTTCAAACCCTTCTCTTGCATTTCGCTGAAAAACTCCACCGCACTACTAACTCTCCCGTGCTTACACATCTCATCAAGCAATGCATCAAGCGTAACCACATTGACTTCCACTCCATCCATTTTTCATCAGCTCAAATAGCTCTTGCCCTCTCTCGATCTCACCACTTTAGAAAACCCATCAATCAAACAATTATAAGTAATCGTGTTTGGCTTGCACTTACTCTCCATTAACTTCAAACCCTCCTCCCGCCTCCCAACTTTACATAAACCATCAATCAATGTATTATAAAGCACAACATCAGTCTCAATTCTAAAGTCTCCATCGTTCGTCTTCTCAAATGCCTCCAAAGCCAGATCGACACAATAAAACATACATAAATGATCAATCAAAATACCAACATTTGGTGGAATTCCCTTTCCTTCATTTCCTCCATAAGCAAATTCATTTTCACAAAATCACATTCTTTCCCCAACTCTCTCAAGAGGGCATTACAAGAAGCCATCTTCACATCTCCACCTAAACTCATTCTCTCATTCAAGAGGTCCCATGCCTTACCACACTGTCTGGTCCTGCAAAAACTTCGTAATTATTTGTGTGAGCCAGAAACTATTTACGAAAACCCCACCACGTTCATTAAAATTCAAAATGAGCTTATATATTTTCTCCATGTTCACATTCCTTCCACCCCATCTCCTCTTTAATATCGCTGTTAAAACAATATCAACAGTATTATTATTAGGTGGGTACCGCATATCCTGCTTCAGCATTCCGCCGAGCAGCTACAGTGCATCATTAATCCGCCTTGATTTTGGTAGCTCATCCATCAGTACATTCACCACACGGGTGTTTCTCAAATTGTGATCAAGTGCATCATAAACTTGGGCGCACGCATTAATCAAACTGGCCTGACCAAAGCGTTTGATGAATGATGTGTTGGAAATATGAGGAGAGGAATGGAGAAGAAACGAAAATCAAAACCAGAAAGATGAATATGAAAATGAAGGCTTGTATGGTTGTCCTCAAACGATATTTGTCTCCTCTTGAGTAGAATTTAGAAGCTTGAAATGATCTGGCAAATGGTTTACATGATTTATCAAGCCTTGAAAAGGATTTGACGATCAAGTACTAGTGAAATCCTCCAAAACTTGAGAATGCAAAGAGGATTTGAATATGAGAAGAAAGTGGATTTTTAATACTTTTTAATGAGGAAAATTATCTCGACTGTGGTTATATGATTTTGTGTTTTTCAATATGTTCCAATTGATCATTCATCGCCCATATATAGTCGTCAAACAATGCTATACGAAATGGTGTGAAAAACTCTCAAATAGGTGCTTCTATCAAGGGTGCACTATATCTAAACACCCCCATTGAGTATCAACTATAGTAAACATTAAAAGCATCAATTCATCCTCTAATCAATACAATTGTTATTACACATCATTGGGAGGGGTTTGGAATAAATCCAATGTAGTACCTTAACAAACAGTCCAATAACTTTGTTATCCCATTGAACCCTGACCATGGGATCTCCAATCGCAAGGTTGAATTTTCGTTAGAGGTGATTTAGTTTGTAATGGGCTTTAGCCCCATCTTTCTTGATATTTTCTGAACTAGTTCTCTAGCTAATCCTTTGGTTAATAGGTCGGAAATATTATCACTTGACTTCACGTAGTGAATAGCTATAACCTCATCTTAAGCAATTGACGCACAATATTGTACTCCTAATAGTCTAGACTTTCTATCATATGATGAATTTTGAGCTCTTTAAATAGTATTTTGACTATCACAATGAACTGAAAATAGCTGGAAATGATGAGTTGGCTTAATGCACCAAATTTGATTCATCCTTGACATTGAATGTGAATCTGATTTACTTGATTAGTTTGTCAATGGCGCATTAAAATGGTGTTTCGCGCGGGTAGTTGCTAACAATTAAAAAGAAAATCAGACAATTGTATAAGAAACAAACTTTTTGAGACAAAGTCCCAAAAATGGGTGTTTTATTGGCGATGACTTTACAATTGGAACTAAATAGAATGCCTCCAAGGAGCGCAAGCACACAAGTACTGAAAAGAAATGTTTAAGTTTAAACTAAGAAATTGAAATTACATATTCTCTGTTTGAGAGTGTTTGATTCGGGGTCCTTTGCTCTATGTCTTCTCTTCCTTTTATATTCCCTTGATGATTTCTTCGTAATCAACCGCTTAGAAATTGTTTGATTGCTTTATAACTACCTACTTTCTTTATGGTGGCTAACTTGTCGTGGAACTGCCGTTTCTAACTGCTGCCACTACTCTTTGTCGTTCAACCGTCTTCAACTGAACTCCTTGAATCGTGGAACGTGATAAGGTTACTCAATAACTGCTTCAATAACTGTACTTCTGGGTAACCATAACGTCTTATGTTTGCTAAGATTTTGGGCGATTCGAAGGTTTGAGCGAGAACAGGGTCATAGTTCTGGACGACTGTAAGGCATTTCATTCACTCAGATCTTGGGCGTTTTGCAAGCTTGAGCGATGATGTTACCGTGTTTGTGGGCTTCCACTTCATTCATTAATAATCATATCTGAAATTTTATCCTGAATTGTCCAGTTGAGCTTCATTCTTTGTGCTATTCGATTTGGGAATTCCCCAATTAAACTTCATTCTTTGAGCTATTCGATTTGGACTACACTTTTAGTATGTCAACAAATGGTTAAATGAAAATTTCTACAAATTGGATAAACGGATAGAGCTATGGCTCCACAAAAGAAAGCCCATCTCCAAATTGTTGAAAAATAGCGACATTGAGTTTCTCAACTTTTTGACTTGAAATTAGTCACTTGTATTTCTCAATGGGGTGAGGAAGTGATATAAATCAAATGTAGTGTGTCATTGAATCTCTCAATCAGTAGTTGGACTTTGAGAGTCAAATGATAACTCGGTATGGAGCGAAACAGGAGGTTGGAATGGAATGAAGGGTATGACAGAATGCAAAATTTTCCATCCACATTTTGAAAAGTTTTATTATGACATTAATGATTGGACTACTAATCATTCCTCGAGATTACGTTAAGATATCAAAGCGAATACAACTACCTTACTAAAACTTCATTCCTATCACTATCTCTGTCCTTCATAACCCCAATTCAAGAATTTCTCGTTTCACTTTGTGCTTTTTATTCCCAAATCGAGATTTTGTTAATTGTTTTCTTTTTTATGTTAATAGCACTTCCCAATTGCCATGAAATGATGCAACTTCCAAGGGCAGAACTTGAACAGAAACATACAAATCCAGACGGTTACATACCATTTGACATATCAAAAACAAACAAAAGTACTTTTTGTCTTTTCCAGAAATTATAACCTGAAATTGTCCTTTCTATGCGAAAATTGGAAGTCCGTTCACATTAAACATGTTATGTTACATCCTATGTGAATAAAAAATTATGATTGATTGACATCGAATTTTAAACATTCTTTTTTTTTTTTTTAGTGTATTTTAAATATTTTATATTTAGATAATAATAATAAACAGCAATAATCACCATCTTCAACCTTTGTTGGCCATTAAATGACTTGCTCTGTTTTCAAACCCCAGAATTAAATGCAGCAGCTAAGCACCCCAACTCCACCCACGCAATAATCAAATGGACCTTCTCGCTGCCAGAATCTCCTTTCCCAATGTCCACAACGACATCCTCCTCCCTGTCCGCCGCCGACCCACCACTATTGACCACCGACGCCACCTCTAAAAGCCCACCATACCAGAACTTCGGTTCCATCGGCCTCGGATACGCCATCGCCATTGCTTTCGGCTTTCTCGTCCTTCTCTCGAGCATCCTACTCATCTCCTACATGTGCCTCCGCTCCGCCGCCTTTCGCCGCCGTCGGGCCATCAATCACAACCAACCTTCCTCCCCTGACAACGGCATCTACGTCCCTCGCATAGTCTTCGTGGCAGAAGACGACAACTCCGAAAACGACGTAATTGTCGGCCTGGATCAAGCCGCCATTAATTCGTATCCAAAAGTCGTATTCTCGAAGAAAAATTGCGGAAATGACATAGTATGTGCGATATGTTTGTGTGAATACAAGGATTCGGAGATGTTAAGGATGTTGCCTGACTGTAAGCACTATTTTCACGTGATGTGCGTGGACGCGTGGCTCAAGCTTAACGCTTCCTGTCCTGTTTGCCGGAACTCGCCACTTCCGACGCCTATGTCGACGCCTCTGTCGGAGGTGGTGCCGCTTTCGCAGTACTCCGATGGGCGGCGGCGGTCGTAAAGGGTGGGTGAATTTGGAAATTGGGAAATCTTTAGGGGGTTAAGGGTCTGATTTTTCATTTTGGGTGGGCTGGAAATGTAAAAAACAAATGGATTTTCTTTTTGTGATTTGGTTTATTATTATTAAAATGGAGATTTTGGAGATAACAATGGAATTCCCACAGTTTCAGGATCTGCTCGGCATCTTCTTTGTTAACGCTTCCGCTTGTTTAATAAATTGATTTTCACTAATAAGTGCTAACTGAATTCGTGTTCGCGTATGTTTTCGTTTCTTCTTATACTCCATCTTAACTTCAATTAATGTTTTGTTTGATATGAATTTTGCTTTTACTTTTCTTTTCTGTGGAAGAACTTTTAAATGAAGCTACTTTAATTTTTGTTTCGAAGCTAATTTTCAAAAGCGCTTATTTCAAAAATGCTTTTAAATGGATGAATTTTCTCTAAAAACTTTTTTAATTAAAAAAATCACTTATATAAAATAATCAAATTGATTCAAAAAGAGCTTTTAAGATTTAAAAGCTACTTTTAGGGCAATAAGATCCATTTAAGAGCTCTCTCAGAAAACTGACCTCAATCATTGTATTTTTTCTCTCTTTTTACTTAAATCTTAACTTCAGTAAGAGCATGTTTGGCGGGAATTATGCTTTTAATTTAATTTCTTATAAAGAGCTTTTCGAGATTAGATACTTTCAAAAAATCATTTAATATTCAAAAACAGCTCCTTGACTTTAAAGTAATTTTTTTAACTTTTCAAAAATCGTACCAAACATGTCCTTAATGTAAAACGCCATATCCATTCTTGGAAGCTTTCGACCCCATGCGACCTATAATAAAAATATGATATCTATTATTCTTGGAAGGCAAGGTGCAACTTGGATTGGTTTGCTTGGCACTTTGTCAGACCAGGTGGGGAGCGCTCGGACCCTGGCNATTTAAATTATCAGTCATCGAGGTTTCACCAGGTAGGATGCCCATATTTCATCTGATGGAGGTGCTGGTTGGACCCAGTGCCCCGGTATACGGCTGCGTATGAGGTGAAAAACACAAGCATTAAGTTAAAACAATGGAGCCTGCAAGCAATTTTGAACATTTAACATCATAGGAACTCGTATCTATGGATAAGTAGCGTAATTTTCTTGCCCCCGTGGGGTAAGGTCAAGGATGCTTGCAAGAGAGACTCGAAATTGGACACTAGATAAATAGGAGAAGAAATTGTGACACAATTAGTAAGAACATGAGCTATGGGTTCGACCCAAATTTTTTTTTATTCTCACCTTCCTCCTGCTCGTATATATGCATCCCATGCTCGTCTAACCTGCATGAAGGGATGAAATCACCTTAAGTCAGCAGATACGAGTCCGATGGTCTTAATGTTGAATTAGATAAGGAGGACAAGTAGCTCACGAGATACAAGGAAAAAAAGAAGAGATCGTAATAATGTAATTCATCACGCAAATACAGTGTAAGACCAGCTTCTCAACTCTGAGGAAAAAACGATGCAACAATGTAAAATAAAATAGACCAAATGTATTCTTCGAAATCACCTCAATAAGCGTCCCCATATCAGTATTGCTGCCGTGATAATAATGGTAAAATTCCATTGGTAAATTAGCAACACTTGAACCAGGTCCTTCCGATCCATGCTTCCCAGATTCTTTATTAGCAACCACCATGGAGCCTGTATTATTTTTACTCTCTGTTTTCTGATCTTCTTTTCCATTATTTAGACTGACATTGCTATTAAGTTCTTCTGAGTCGGGTGCATGACTCTTAATGGTTTTTCTAGATACCTCAGCTGTAGCAATGGCATCTTTAGCAGCATCAGTATCAGCTGCAGCCATTGCTTGGCGCTCTTCATCCTCAACCGCAGCTTTAACTTGTTCAAGAAACTTGTCATCCTCTTCCGGAAGAAAATGACCTGCATTGTAACAGCATCGAATTAAAGATGTAATCATGTGCAGAAAATGTAGACTATGCAGTTAACTTAATGTGGGATTCAAGAACAGAAAGCAAAACTATGCTATACCACACTTCCATGAAGGTTATGAGGTAGTGGGTACCCTCTTTTTATGAGCAAAACACAAAAATTTATTAACAGTATCCCAACATCTGCTACGCTGATCCCAGGCAATAAACCAACATTCACACAAAATAATAGAGCATAACCCAACGTATTAGGAATGAGAAACAACGTAAGTCATTCAATCATAGAACTAAATCCACAAGCAAAAGAGCCAAATCCACTACGAAAGTGGAGAACAATACATAAACATAGATAAAACTTGGTAATCCCACACCCCGGAACTATGTCTACAATGGATCTTCGAAAAACCAAACCCAACATCATATTATATAGGTAGAACAACGTAACAAAGTGGTCTTTGCAAAAATGTGACCCATTGCAAGTGAGCTAGGAAATAAAAATTCAAGAAATAACATCATCTCAAAAAAACTACCTATGCTTAGCAATATTTTCAGTATAACCATGGTAAATGTTTTCTAGTACAAGTATTAGTAGCATAACAAAAATGCCTTTCTCGTCATTAATATGTTTGCTCGTGGCAGTAATGAATTCCAAACACGTTGAAAATTCATCCTAGAGTCGCTCCATTGACCGAAACACTTAGAGGAGCTCCTGTATCAATCACTTCGAGACACTTCCTCATCCATTTCTGCCTGAACAGAGGCCCATACCTGTTGGTGAGCCTGATCCTGTTCTTTTACCCAGTTGATGTAACAGTGCAAGACTCACCCCTCGAGTAGGGACGAAAGTCAACCTTAGTGATCCAATGGTGCCGAGTCGAAGGACTGTCGCTCAACATATAAAAGTTACTCTAGGGATAACAAGCTGATCTTTCCCAAGAGCTAACATCGATAGGAAGGTTTGGCACCTTGATGATGGCTCTTCGCCACTTGGGGTTGTAGTATTTTCCAAAGGATAGGCTACTCGCCCATTAAAGTGGTACGTAAGCTGCGTTCAGAACGTTGTGAGACAGTTCAGTCCATATTTGGTGTGGGGCGTTAGAACATTGAGAGGAACTTTCCCTAGTACGAGAGGACCGAGAAGGACGCACCTCTGGCGTACTAGTCATCGTACCCACGGTAAACACTGGGTAGCCTAGTAGAAAAGATTGAAAAATTATCACAAGCCTCCCTTATCTATTTTCTATTGCAATTTTTAGATTATTGTATGATGATTTTTAAACTTTCCATAAATAGAAAAGGAAATGGGTGCTTTACAAGAAAGAATTACTTCTACCAAAAAAGGATCCATAACTTTCGCCATCTAAGGTGCAGTATTCGTGCTGCTTCGCCTAGCAGCACGACGCTTGTATTACTCTCCCACAACCGTTTTTACGGTTTAGATTGCTCCCATTTCGCTCGCCGCGCCACATCGCATAAGCCCCATACAGAAGATAGGTTGGTTCGCTTGAAGAGATTCTTTTCTATGATCAGACCGAATCATGACTTTTTTTCTATAAAACAGGATTATTAGTTACTCGTTGGATTTATTCGGGATATTTTCCACTAAGGGGGTGTTTGAGCCACATTATTTTGGTAATAATGCATTCTTGAATAGTGCATTGATGGGAAATGTGTGGTTAAAAAATAAGGAAATTTTTTTTTTATTTACGTGTAATATTATTTTATTAAATAATGTGTGGTTGAAATAATGTCAAATCACTGTTTAAGAATGCATTTTTTGAAATAATGTGGCTCAAACAGGCCCTAAGTTATTTATATGAATCTCGGTTCAAGTCCGAGTGGCAGCATGTCATCTTCTAAAAAAACTAAATAGATCCTATAATGAATTCAATTTTCAAGTCATTTTCAGATGTAATTGAAGGCAAATATGAAAGATTTTGTGAGACTCTGTTGGGAACTGAGTTGATTATCCAGGTCGTTCTGTCATTGTCGTGAGTCCTTTACTTTCATTACATCATGTGGATTGCCTTGCGAAATAGCAAGATTCCTATTTGGTATTTGTAAAGAGATCCTATTTGTCAAGCGAGGGAATTTCAAACTAAATACTTGGTGAAAGGTATTGAAAAAAAAAACAATTTCATAGAGAAAGTTGAGATAAATCGAATTCATGATATCGTTCTTCCTAATACTAATTACAAAAAAATTGAACAGAAATAAGATCGATTTGATAAAAAACCATTATCAAACAAAATTGTTGATTTCTTAACTTTCATCAATTAACTTGGTAAACAATCTGGGTCAATTTTATATTCTACGGGTCTTTCTGTATTTTTAGATGAAGAAGGAAGAAAAGATTCAAGTTTAGGTAAATATCTAATGCGTTCCCCAACCGGAGAAGTCATTTTTGGCGGACAAAACTATACGATTTTGGGATCTGTGTGCTCCCAAGTTAGAACCTCTAAGAGGTCCAAATGGATTGGATTTGAGTAGGTTGAAAAAAGACAAACAATCTTAACAAGAACGGCATTCCGCAAAATATGACTCATGCTCTTTTAGGTTTTTTAAATTTTGTGGGTGGCACCGTCGGATCATTAAGGCCGACTTTTGTCCCTACTCAACGGGTGAGGGTGAGTCTTGCAGTCAAACTCCCTTCTGCCTTTGCCCTCAAGGGCCAATCTCCGTCCAACCCGAGGAAACCTTTGCACGCCTTCATTACCTTTTAGGAGGCCTACGCTCCCATAGAAATTGTCTACCTGAGATTATCCCTTAGCCCATAGGTTCTGACACAAGGTTAGAATTCTAGCTCTCTCAAAGTTGTATCTCATTGATGGCTAGCCCCACCCCCCCACCCCCAAGAACCCGCTTGGAACAGATTACCGAAACTTGCCTACCGTCCCAACACAAGGCAACTCTTATCATATTAAAAGAGAGACGCTATTCAATGAAAATATATACACATCCTGAAGCCCTTGCATTTATACAGATAGTAGTCACAAGGAAAACCAAACCAGAAGAGACTAAACCACAGAAGTTCGATAACCCGAGCAAAGGAGAATATACTCGCCTTGTTTCTTCAGTTTCTGAATCCTGATGGAGCGTAACTCCTGCAGCTTTTCCACTATCAACACCAGCTCAAGCTGAAATTAATTAAAACAACTCAATAGATGACCAGTGAACAAAGAGAACAGTAAGTAGCAGGTAGAACCTTAAAAAGACAGCAAACTGCAACATATATGCAATTATCAGTCAACCACTTTTTCAATGTGTGGCTTATTGTTGCTATACACTAAACTGCATTGTGGAACATATTAACAG